TCCGGTGTTTTTGCATAGCCTAAGCCTTGAAGGGTTTGAGAAGATGCCTGAACAGGCCAACCCGAGGGCCAGTCCTTTCTAGCAATTATGCTTTTGTCCGCCCCTGTGTCTAATAATCCCACAATTTTTTTACTATCTAACACCAATTCCAGTATAGGTCTGTGTTCTAAATCTAATCATAGGATGGCACTGTTGCCGCCCAAAGATCCAAAACCCTTGTCACCTCTCTCACACGCCACGGCAGGGAACCAGTCATGCAGACTAGGTAAAATTACCAACTGTGCAATACGGTCTCCAGGGGAGATAGTGACAATTCCTTTAGGCGCCTCGGCCATGACTTTAATAATGCCTTCATAGTCGGGATCAATGACTCCTGGGTGGACACGTAATCCTTTTAAAGTGGAGGAGGACCTTCCAATAAGTAATCCAACTGTTCCCTGTGCTAGAGGGCCCTGAAAATCTGTCTCCACCAGTTGGATCCCCATCCATGGTGTTAATACGAGTCTGGCGGTGGCATGGAAGTCCAGCCCTGCGGAGCCTGATGTGGCTCTCCGCGGCTCCCTGGCGGTCTGAGGGAGGGCCACGATTCCAGACCATGCTCCCCATGCCTGGCTTCCATTGCCCCATATATTTGTGGGCCCTGGGGTCGGGGGCCCCATGACTCGTTTTTTGGATGGGATGCTGCTGGGCCTTGATTTATGAAGTTACCATCCGCATCTTTCACTGACCGGCACTCCCTTGCCCAATGCTTACCCTTTCTGCACTTTGGACACAGGCCTGGTTGTCTCCCGCTTATGCTTGTCATGGTGGGACTCTGGTCCTTTTTGGGACAATTCCTCTTTAGGTGTCCCTGCTTGCCACATCTAAAGCATGCACCACCTGCCTGTCCCCCCTGTTTTTAGCCCCGGGTTAATTGCATCACTGCTGCTGCAATGCCTGTATTGGAAAGAGGGCCCCCTATGTCCCAACAAAGTTTCATCCAAGCCTCTATTCCCTTATTCTTATATGGGCCGATTGCGGCTCGGCATTCCTTTGTGCATTGTTCAAATACCAATTACTTTACCAAGGGCATCGCGTCCTCCACGTTCCCAAAGACCTTCCCTGTGGACTCTATCATGCGGGCCACAAAGTCTGAAAATGTCTCAGTAGGGACCTGTATGATCTTAGTGAGGTTGCCTCCCACTTCCCCTCTATTTGGTAAGGATTTTCAGGCCCTGATGGCACATTTATTAATTTGTTCATAGACTTGAGGTGGGTAGCCCGTCTGTTGGTTGGCAAATTGGCCTTGACCTAGCAGCATATTGCGGTCCCAAGCAGGGTTGCCTGAAGCTTGATTGGCAGCTGCTTCTTCACCTGCAAACTCGATTAGGAAAGTTCTCCAATCAAGATATTGCCCGGGGCCCAAGGATGCTTGGGCTAGTGCATTCCAATCCCCAGGAGTCATACAGTAACGATTAAGGGTTTCTACCTGGGAGACAGTGAATGCAGCCGAGACCCCGTAAGTCATAACAGACTCAGCCAATGACTTGATAGTTTTGAAATCCAGGGGGTCATGGTATCTATTACCTTGAGCGTCTTGGAAAACTGGATAGGCCAGCGAGAGCTTGGTCTGAACTGTTCTCCATACCCCTGGATTAAAAGACCGTCCAGATCAGGACCCTCCCCCAGCATCTTCATAGTCAGGTGGAGCAGAGGGCTCCGCCCCTACCCTGAAGGCTAGTTCTTGTTTCTTCCTGGGTCCCTTCCTCCTTTTGGGTTTCTCCCCCGTCATGCTCAACTGTCTCAGTGCTTCAGCAAGGGCACGATCGTCTTTTGTACCGTTATCTGAGTCTGAGTCCTCCTCAGGGCCCTCGGACTCCACCTCTCCAGAGCTGGATGAAGCAAGCTCCGCGAGGTCGGGGTAAAGCTTCCTCCTTGGTCTCGCTCCCTCCGTTTCCCAACTCCTCCCCTTTACACTAGGAGCCTTTTCACTAGCTGTCCTCTCAGACCTTTCCTCCTGCAATTGTTCTAGTGCTATCTATCCATTAGTCACCGCCCTGCTGCACCGTTGGTCTTGTAAGCAGCCACGGACTAACCTCCACATAGGCAGTATTCCGGCCTTGAGCACTCCCTGCTCATGCTCAAAGCTGAGATCCTTTCCCAGTTTGTCCCAGGCAGGGACCGTCAAGCTTCCGGAGGTGGCGAACCAAGGGGCCACATCATCGCATTCCTCCAGGAACCTCTTAAGGGTATTTTTCCTCAACTTAAGTTTCTTAGAGTTAAGCAGCTCCTGTAGAGCCAGAAAAATTGGGTGTGAAGTAGACACGCCCATGATTCAACTTATACTTTCACTTCGGAGTTCGCTCGTAGGCAAACTGGATTCGCTCATAGGCAAACCTTGGCACTCCTACTTTATCTACAGATAGGAGCCCTAAACCCCGCTTTTGTCGCGGATCCCCAACGTACCCAGGGACTTACCGGTGCACCCCCTGACCGCTGAAGTTTCTGAGCTGATGGCTTGAGATGGAGTCCCCATACGGGCCACCATTTGTCGCGCGCTTTTTGACCAGCAGGAAAGATGCAACACACAGCTCTTCCTTCAGCGGTTTATTCAGGCCCCTTACAGCAAGCTTCTTCTCTCTCCAATCCCCCAGCCCTTGGCTAATATATACTCCTGAGCCCAATCCCAGTGCACCATGTGGTGATCGCCCATGGGTCCAGCATATGCGAAAGCGAATCATGACTGCAGCCCTGGCCATATAAGAGGTTGTTGTGCACAGAGAGCACTCACCCACGGGGGTTGGATGGCGGAAACCAGCACCATCTTGTAGGCGCGGTCCTTCGCAGCTCTCCACACAACACCCCTTCTTCTTGAACATCCACCTACCCGAGAAACATCATAGCAGTAAGTGGCATGTCATGACAGGTCGGCCATATTCAGAATACCAGAATGACACTCTCTCTAAACATGAAAATACTATTACAAATTACCATCTGCAGTGCAGTAGCTTAGTTCACAGGTATCAGTATATATAGTTAGTCAGGGCGAGAATCTTTCCAATTAACTGCTAGATTAAAAAATCCTCTAAAGATTCTCAGGATTATTCCATTGCTCATCTTTTACATGTAACTGTACGGCTTGACATTGTCATGTTTCCTAGCTCTTCTCCTTTCTCTCTCTTGATTAGTTAGTCCTTGAGATTTTGCTTTCCTTTTACTTCTATTATATTTTTCTATTTATATTTCCATTTTGGAGTTCTTATACTAGGGAGAATATACGATAATTACACATGTGTGTTTGGTTTATTTCACTTGTGAGTATATGTTCAAGTGGCATCCACTTCCATATAAAGGTTTTCAGTTTATCATTCTTAATACCTGAATAATATTCTATTGTGTAAAAATAGCATATCTTTCTCAACCATTCCTCAGGTGATGGGCATCTTGGTTATTTCCAAGATTTGGCTATAACAAATTGTGGTGCTATAAATATAGGCACACATATATTCCTATGATATGATGTTTTCAGATCCTCTAGGAAATTTCCCAGTAGAGGAATAACTGGCTTAAAGAGGATTTCCATACCAACTTTCCTCAGGAGTCTCCATACTGATTTCCATAACGGTTGCACCAGTCTACACTCCCAACAGCATTGGAGAAGGGTTCTTTTTCCCGACAGCCTCTACAACATTTGCTGTTGGGTGATTTCTTTATGGCAGCCATTCTTTCTGTTGTGAGATGATATCTCAATGTGGTTAAAATTTGCATATCCCGAATGGCTAGTGATGTGGAACATTTTTTCATATATTTATTTGCTTCTTTAATTTCTTCCTCTGAGAAGCGTGAATTCATCACGGATGCCCATTTCTGGAATGGGTCTTTAAATTTTGGGGCCCTAATGCTTTTCAGCTCTTTATAGATTCTAGAGAGCAGAACTTTGTCTGAGTACTTATTTGTCATGATTTTTTCCAAATGTGCGGGTTGCTTTTTAACTTTGATGGTAATTTCTTTTGATGTGAAGAAACTTCTCAGTAAGAGCAGGTCCCAGTTTTTAATTGTTTCAACTGTTACCCGTGCGATTTGATTTCTGTCCATGAACTCCTTGCCTAACCCTATGTCTTCAAGATTTCCTCCTACTTTCTCTTCCAGGAGATTTAGTGTCTCTGCTTTAATGTTTAGATCTTTTATCCATTTTGACTTTAGTTTAGTGCATGTTGATAGACCTGGGTCAAGTTTGACTTTTCCTGATGCAGAGAACCAGTTTTTCCAGCACCATTTATTAAAGAGTGTATCTTTCTTCCAATGAGTATGTTTGACCCCTTTGTCAAAGATAAGGTGGTTGAGTATGTTTTTAGGGAATTCAGCGTCTTCTAATCTATTTCATTGATCCTTGGGTCTATTTTGATGCCAGTACCATGCTGATTTTATCACAGTAACCTTGTAGTATAATTTCAAGTCAGGAATGGTAATGCCAACTGTCTTGTCTTTATTGCCCAGAATTGCCTTTGCTATTCTA